AAATATAAAAATAATAAAAAATTATACTTCAGATGTTAATTTAGTATCAAAAACGTAAAATATTTGAGTAGCCCAAGACATAGCCAAAAATTAAAGCGCCACAGCACTGGCAAAATTTAAATTTGCCGACTGGAATTCTTTCGGATGATTGACGTTTCGGATGATTGACTTTCGGAAAATCGACGCTCTACTGTATATGTATTATTCGGTATAATGTAACCGATATAAAGTCTAAGGACTGAGGAGGAGAAAGTCTAACACTCGAAATGAATTTTCCTTTAATAAAAAATACATAAATCAACTGTTCCTTGTGTGATGTGTTACTGAAGAAAGAAAGCCACTAGCTTTTAATTCTTTAAAGTCTATAATATTTTCAAAGTTTGGCTAAATTACAGGTTATTAACAAAGTTTAAAATATTAGTTATTATTTTAAGCAAAATACAAGATAATAGAGTAAAAAGCATTTAAAATTTGCTTAGTAATTTCCCTGGCACAAGATGATGTCGAGCTTCTACTGCTGCACTTACATAAGATTTCTGTTTTGCTTCCTAGCTGCCTGCGTGTGAGGACGTTCGTTCCCGTGAACCCCATTTTGAGTTAATGTAACACGGAGCGATGAATCATTTTGTGGAGCAAATCCATTACGCTATCAAATTTTGCGTTAAACTTGGGAAGTCAACCAATGAAACTTTTACATTAATTCAGCAGACCTTTGGGAGTGATTGCTTCTCCAAATCACAAGTGTTTCTATGGCACAAGTCGTTCAAAGATGGCCGAGAGGAGGTCACTGACGAACCCCGCAGTGGACGTCCATCAACCTCCCGAATTGTCTTCTTTGACGTCAGAGGCATTAACCACCACGAATTCGTACCTGTCAGGACCACTGTAAATGCAGCTTTCTACTTGGTTCAAAAGACTGAAATCATAGTCGCGCGCTGCCGAAGTGACATCAAGGACACGCAGAAACTTCATCACTACAACGCGCCAAGCCACAGCGCCTTCACTGTCAACGGTTTCCTGGCCAGGATCCACACCCCATTGGTTCCACAGTCACCTTACAGTCCTGACCTGGCTCCCGCCAACTTTTTTTTGTTTCCTCGCTTAAAAGGGGCCATGAAAGGGAAACATTGCGACACGATTGAAAACATCAAGGCTTATGTTACATCAGCTCTAAAGGACATTCCGGAGAAGGCCTTCCAGAATGCCTTCAAGGTCCGGAAACACCGCCTTCACTAGTGTATCGATGCAGGAGGGTGCTATTTCGAAGATTTTTGACTAATTGTAAGAATATATTCAATAAATGATTTTTTAATGAATTTGGTCGCATTACGTATGGAACGCACCTTGTACTTAAAACATTGAGACATTGGAATTTTTTATATCGTGTTAGGGACCCCTAAACATTATTTAAAACTAACCAAATTTTATTTAAGTTGTTAATTTTTTATAATGAAACATGTTTGAAACGTGTTCCTTCAACTGTTTAAAATAGTTTTGGAAATGTAGGTGAGTCGGAAATTTTTTTAAAAAAACGAGAAGGAAATAGAGAATGTTATCAACTTATAAAATAAATTAAGGAGGATAATTCGATAATTTATGTAAGTTTTAAATATACCGGGTGTTCACTAAAACATCTATAATAGGCAAAAGAGATCTTTCTAGCGTTGAGTTAGCGTTAGATTGAGATAGAAATACACCGGATAATATGTCAACATGACATGCACCCATTCCACTGCAATCCATCACATTCCTGATTGAACTCTTTGGATTCTTTTCCGTAGGATCACGTAACAGCATTGCCGTATGATACGTATTTAAAGACATCACAAACAAGATTTACAGGTCCGTTTTGAGATGTAAAATGGATGCGAGTAGAAGAGTGTAGCTCCAGAAGAATGTACAGTATATAAAAGACTGTATGGTATAAGAGTTTCAATATGTTGTGTAACAAAATTTGTACCTAGAGTTCGATTTATTGTTTACTTAATCCCGTATTAATTCTAAATCTACAGTAATTTTCAAACTTATAATTATTATACACATTATGACGAAAAATTGCAGCTCGACATTGTGACTATGTTCCAATAAATAATTGCTCGTTCTCACTTACGAATTTTTTTCGTTTCAACTGTACTTTTCCTTTATACGCAACAGAGGAAAAATGTGGCGATAAATCCCCACGACTTCTATATTTTGGACACGATCCTAATATGCCGAGAAATGTAAAAACAATTTTGTGTTTTCTTCCTATATAAAGGGATGTTTGTGTATAGCGTACAATTTTGTTCGCCCACTTTTAAAGCTAAATAACTCCAGTGCCTTTCGTCGAAAATCTCGGGAATTTTGCGGGGAGATTTGTACATTAGGAGATTGACACTATTAAATTGTAGTGGTAAAAGAAATAGAATGGGGTCATATGTCATATCTCGAGTGGAATTGGACTTAATGAAGATTTCATTCGTTATTAGCACAAAAGGTTTTTTTTCTTTTTAAACTCATATCTTCCCCCAAAATAAACATAGTTTATTATCTTCATTTTAGTTTATTTGTACAGACGTACGACAACGGAAATTTATAGATCTACAATGTTTTCAAATTACAGCCCAATTATCAATGATAGCAAATAAAAAAAATTGATACTTAATATTAATTAATAGTAAGAAAAGTTGTGCCAATGCTTTTATTCGTGATGTGTAATAGTTAATAATGAAAAAATTAAATTATGTACTGTATAATTAAATTATAACTATTTAATTTAATATATAGCCTATAATGAGTATTTAATATAATCATTTAACATAGAATAAAACGACAAATTTTACACTCAATTAACAAAGTAAATAATTCATTTTATTCAAAATATCTTACAATTAATGTTTCGTTCACTCTTTTCAGCAGCGATCTACAATCAAAAATGTAAATTATTATATTAATTACAAAGAGATGAAAACTTAATTCATACAAAATCATATTTCTTACCGTCACCACAAGCCTTGCAACAATCATTTTTATTTTCAAAGTTATTACTGTTACCCCCGCATCCACCGTAAGTAAAACTTTCGCATTTTCCGCTTTTAGCATTATAATAATACCTCGGAAATATTGCTAAACATAATCCGGAATCGGGAGGAAGGGAACAATCCACATCTAAAAAGAATACCTTAAGGTTAACGACTATTAGATTTAAGAGTTAAAAAAAATAAATGAATAAACTAAACCATCGTCCGATGTGCAAAACGAATGGAAGAGCAAAATTACAACCAGACTGGTTACTACAAGCTTCATGATGAAATTAATGACCTATTATCTTGATTGGAAGTTATATTTACGACCAGACAAACAGGAAATTCACTTTGATAAAGGCAAGGCAAGGACAATAAATATAAGTAAAAATGAATACTTTCCAGGAAAATTGCAAAATATTTTAATAGATTAAGTTTAAGTAATTACTTAATTTAATTTCGACATATAATAAACAGTGGTTACAAATTATATAGGTATATATTCCATGTATTTATAATAAACCTTGGGTTTTATTCAGATACAGAGAAAATAAATAAAATTTAATATTTCCTCTAAACGGTGAAAAAAATTTGTCGGTGATATCTTATTTATTATTAAGGAAAATATGCCAAAAAATAATTCTTTTCATATAAATTTATGCAGTTTGACTCGTAGAATTACTGGGTTATAATGTTTATAATGGGTTGAAAGTTACTAGACATTAAGAAATTGCTATAATTTCTACATTTCTAAGGCAAAAATGATAGAAATTATTTAAAATGTACCTTATTAAATAAGACATTTGAATGCATATTATAAAATTCAATGTAGATACCGGCGCCATCCAACAACGTCTTTAAACGATGGGGATCGTACGGTCACTTTTCTGCTTTCATAACTGAGCCTGTCGTAATTAGCTTCGAATGGAAATTCTTGATTGTTTTTAACGCATTTTGCATGACATTCCTTTACTGAATACCACCATCTCTACGTAGCAGTAATTAATTCCCCCCTCCCCTCTTTAGCGTGCAGCAATCTTCGCTGGCTTTTGAACAGGCAAGCGGTCAGTCATCTTTTCTTTCCGCTACATGTTTAGCTTTTCTCGGTCACTGCTTACACAACGAATTCAGAAATTATAAGTTTTCATTGACAGATGTACATGAAAACAGAAATTTTGTTACGATTGCATTATTATTAAAAAAAATTATTGCAATTTCACAATGCCTAGTTACTTTCCATCTATCCTCTATAATAGTAAACAGTATAATAGGGAGAAAATATGTTTGATGAAATAATAAATGTTTGTTTATAACAATTAAACAGATAATAATAGACATTGTAGGTTAATATTATTATTTATTATAATTATATTAAATTATTATAATTATAATATATATGTTAATACATTTAATAAATAAATATAAACAGGAACAGCTTAAANATAATAGACATTGTAGGTTAATATTATTATTTATTATAATTATATTAAATTATTATAATTATAATATATATGTTAATACATTTAATAAATAAATATAAACAGGAACAGCTTAAAGGAACAATAGCATAATGTAGCAATATTTATTAACTTTTATTATGCTTTAAATAGAACAGAATCGTTTACATTATCAGAATATTTTATGGATTATAAAAAAATAAAACACTTTTATGAATATCCTGTAAGCAAATAACTTCAGTCATTCCTCATTATCAATCATATCTCACACACAGTCCCTCATTCTCAGTCATCCCTCATCTTCCACCATACTTCACTCCTTGTTCCTTACTCTCAATCATCCTTTACCCTCAACCATACCCCCTCTTTCATCCATCCCTTATTCACAGTTCTTTATTCTCGAACTACCTCATTAACGGGTAACTGAAGGGTAAGGAACAATGTCTACAATAGTTCAGACAGCCATATTAAATTAACTGTTTCATGAAACCCCATTGAGCATCCGGTTGGTGTTTTTAAACCAATTATAAATATCAAATTATTTAANTAGATAAAATGAAATCCATCGTAGTTTTTGGAGCGATTTTCATGGTATTATTCCTCTTAAAAACTTCAGAAGCTTCAGAAGCAGAAAACAATGAGGAACTTGATGAATATGTCAACCATGAGAAAAGATTTTGGCCTATCGTAGCCCGATGGGCTGCAGGACAAGCTGCAAAAGCTGGAGTAAGTACAACTTCAAAATTTTAAATAATAGTATAATTAACACCATTTTTATCAGTTTATAACATAAAATCTTTACATTTAAAGCTGTGAAATTATTTACAACAGCAATTCTCACCTCGCGTACTTGTTAAAAGTATACAAAAATTAAAAAGATAATTAAAAGATTTTAATTGTTTACTTATTATTTCGAAAATTATTTCTATATTTTTATATTAAAATAATAATAATAATAATAAAACACTGTAGTTTTTCTACTTAACTCTTCATTTATGTGTATAATAGTGTAGTGTTGGGGGTTACCTCTAACTCAAAAATTTTGAGAATCTCTGACGTAGACGATTAGTTTTACTTTATTTTATTGACGTAAAATTGAATAATGAGTTAGCAGAATGTTTTTCGGGTTTTTCACGTGTTTAACACGTAAAAAAACCACGAAAACTCCACTTGATTAGTTCACTAGTTAGGCGCGAATCGGCACCTAACCAACGTGCTGGCAAAGTAGTTTTTCGGGTCTTTAGATGTTTAAAACCTAAAGACCCGAACACTGGTTATTATTTAGGTGTTTAACACCTAAATAAGAGCCAGTGTTCAGTGGTTTTATGCTGATGGGAACAAGCGTGTGCCCACCAGCAGCTGAGTTTGTTCATCATGTGAAAGAATTCAATAGAAATATCTTGTTTTGCTAGATTTAAAACAAGATATTTCCATTTTTTGAAGCACCCTGTATATTATATTGACGGGAAAGAAATTAAATTTATTAAAACAGTATTTTATTTGAATAATTAACTAAATGTTATTAAATTAATTAATTTTTAATAGTTTAACAAGTGGAAGAAGCATCGTAGCCATCACAAAGGATGAGATCAATTTGTAAGCGTGTCTTATGGATGTCAGTAATATTCTTATACACATTAATTAAACGTTATTTTATAATTAAAAAAATTATTTTCTAGATTGAAAAATGGAATGAATACTGGATTTAATGGTTTATTATTAAGAAGATTTAATGTAATTAGTATCGTAAGCCATTTTATATTATTAAATTTTTTTTGTTGTAAATTTTAATGCAGTTATAAAATGATTATTTTATTGTCTACGTATTTTGTTAACTACGATAAGAGAAAATATATGAATAAACACACTGTTCAATTTGTAACGCTGTTATAAAATTAATTTAAGTGTTGATATTAAAATAAAATAGTTGATATTAAAAAATTTTGTGTTTATCTTTTATAATTTCGAATGTTTTTTGCTACAATTTCTATAAAAATTGTTCATTTGAACGTTAAAAAAATATATAGATTTTAGTTACAAATAATACAATGAATGAAACAATGAAATTCCTTTCCCCGCTTATGTAATCTGCCGAAGGGTTAATCAACAAAAGGAACTACACTAGTGAAAAGCTCTCTTTAAATGTGCTATGTAATATATTTAAAATGACATTTATAAATTATAATTAATTAAAACTGATCCCTGAAGTTGTAGAAACTTGCATAATAAAATTGGCTATAAATTTATTTTATTCTGTTTAATAGGAAAAAAAAATATGGTAAATATCTATGATTTATTTTGAAAAATTATGTTTTAAATATACATTTTAATAATTTTGTAGGAAGGGACACGTCCTATCCTACCATCCTCCCGACTCCGAAACTCGATAAATACATAATTTAATTGTGTAAATTGTGTAGTGTTTTATATAGTGCAGGTGCGGCCACCCTAGAAAAACACCACCTAAATCGTTTTTTACGAAGTTATAAAAAATATATATCTAAATTATTTTATGATAAACCTTTCAGTTAATTTAAAAATAATATCATTTTATATACAAAAAAAGACCCGAAATACCTCGTGCATAACGTATATAACAAATATATTAATATGATAAAATACCCGCGATCAGTTTTCAGTAGATAAAACCATTGAAAATTGGTCGTAGGTTCGTATCTAACCTGTATGCTGGCTAGTTTTTCGGGTCTTTACGTGTTTAACACCTAAATAAGAGTCAGTTTTCTATTCAAAATCTTCCTAAGATTTTGGCTCTTTTGACAAATCTCTTAAGTGTTACGTTGCCTTATACATAAATCAATATTACTAATTTTATCCCATAAATAAATAAATGTGATTTTTAATTTTAAAAAATATTCGCTTCATTTATTGTAATTTTAAGTGTAAATAATATTAATATTATATTAAATATAAATATTTAAACCAGAATTCCATCAATTCAACTGTAATCCAGTTTAATTACTGTTCTTATTGTGTAAGTTTAGCACTAATATAAACAGTCAATTTACCTAAAAAAATTGGTTTAAAAGCACTTTATTTTAAAACTAATACGTGTCAAAAATACTTGAAAAATTGTTGGTAATAAATAACGTAAAATAATATCAAAATTTTATTATTTAAACAGTTTTTTACATAACACATTCAATTGATGTTTCTCTAAAGCAAGCAACTACCTGAAAATAAATATAATCATTTATTAAATATTTGCTTGTTAAAGTTAATATATCGAGAACAAATTAAATTACTTACTGTCGCCACAAACGTTGCAGCATTCAATCTTAGTAAGAAAATTGTTGGTGTTACCTCCGCATCCTCCGTAGATAAAGTCTTCGCATTTACCACTTTCTGAGTCGTAATAATAACGCTGTATATGTGCGTAACAAAGTCCAGAGTCAGGGGAAAGGTTACATTGCTCACCTGTAATCAATAATTAATGATTAAGAATGTTAAATTTCACAATTAAAAGTATAAAAGAGTACCTTGAGAACTGGAAAATAACTGGAGAAGAAGAAGTACAGCAAAACTCAATAAGAGAAACTTCATCGTGCAATTACGTCAGTTACTTTTTATATAAGTGCAATTAATACACAAAAGGCGACAACGGAAAAGGAATTTACTTTCACGATAACGACAATTCCAAGAAAATTATTATCACTTTTATATTTTGTAATCTTAGCGGATATTGTTTCGAGAGAGGAAAATTTATTATTACATAAATTAAATATGATATTTTTCACCTTGACAGGTTAATGTTTACTTTCTCGTTTTATATATAACAGAGGAAAAGTATGGCTAATAGGTCAAAAATGCCCCCCTAAAATTTCTACGTTTTTGAATTTAGAGTACCGTGAAGCGTATAGAAATGAAATAAAGTTTGAGGGATTTCTATATCTATGAATGTTAGTGTATGTGTACGTGTATGGCACGATTTTGTTTACTCAATTTGAAGCTTAATAACTCCTGTACCTTTTATCGTAAATATCTGAAATTTTGTTGGAAGGTTTGAGTATTAAGGGGATTGAGGCTGTTAAATTTTGGCTATTAAAGGTCAAGGGAGTGGAGAGATATACGGGGTTATGTGTCCAATCTCGATAGGATGGAACTTAATGAAGATTTTATTGATTATTGGTATTTACAATTTTTTTTCTTATAAAACTCATCTGTACCCTCAAAGTTCGCTATTTGCCAAGTGAATAAAACTTTATTGGTAGTCGGTTTGCTCCGCCAAAGGGCTGAATAGTACCTAGAGACCAGTATCCTATAGAAAATCTTATTGACGGGGATGCCTCAATAGTCTGTAGGAGTTACTTTAAGAGGCACCACCTTAAGAAGTCGCCCAAGTTTTATGTTGTAACATCCCATAAACCCAATCCAATTGAAATTAAACATCTAAAAGAATCAGATAGTCACTCAGTTATTTAAAAAGTTAAACTATTTATGCTTATAAAATGACACTTAACATTTTATTTATGTATCATTTTAATGTATAGTTTCACATATTGCTAAAATTGAAAATTTGTTAAAGTCATAGTTTAATTATTTTAACGCGAAAATAATTATATATATATATATTAAAGTTTCGTTAAAATACAGTTTGAAACACTTCCTAGAACAGAGGGAATTTACATAAATAAATTAACTTTCCTTGAAGTAGTAACAAGCAAATTTCTGAGAATATTTAAACGTGTTTATAAACAAACATTTACATTTGTTTTTATTTTTTTTAAATTAAATTTCCCTGTAAATATCATATTATTACATTCATTTTACCCTGAAAATAATGAAAAAATAATAATTTTTATCATTTCTATTCTTAGTTTATATATTAATAAATTATATTTATTAAAAGTGTACGTATGGACGTCGAGAGCTTGTATAGGGCCCATTTTGTCATTTATCTTGTCATTAATTTTACAGGGGTAGGAACCACTAAAGGCCCCTAAGTTTCTCAGGTGCCGAAGAAAAATCGGTCAAAAAATGCAAAAAATTTCGGGTTTTTTTCTGTATGTATGGATGTTAGTGTTTGTGAAGGGAGCTCAATTTTCTTCACCCTCTTTAAAGCTTAATTAATAACTCCTGTGCTTTTTGTTGAAAATTTCTGTAATTTTACAGGTGGGTTTACTTATTACGGGGATCGATTCTATTAAATTTTGGTGATTAAAGGTCTAGGGGGTGGTGAGATAAGGGGGGTCGTGTGTATCTTCAATAGGGTCGGACTTAATGACGATTTTACTCGTTATTAGCATTTATAATCATAACAGACAAGGACGGATAGACATAGGGCCCAATTTAAGTGTTAAATTAGATATTTAGAATGAAATCAAGCATTTTATAAAATAAAATATCATATGATATTTTAAAAACGGATGTGTAATTCCTTTAAAATTTTAGACATAACATATTTAATTCATTCGAAAACATTGACATCCGGAATCAAATTTTGTGGGACATATTTTCGATTTCACTAAAGAAAAATAAAAGAATTTATCACTGAATTATTAATTTACAAATATAAAATATTTAAAAATAAAAAGTTCATTAGAACCTGTTAAAAAATTCGACTTAGAAAACATGTTTACTCATTTCAGATATAAATATTTGTAAATATTTTGTAGATGTTCACTGCATCGTAGGTGGGTTAAGAATATAAAATTGAGGTAGATCTTTAAATTTTTCAGATCGATCAAAGATGAAAACCTTCCTAGCTATCTGCGTTAGTCTCTTCTTCTGCATTAATGTCGTGCTAGAAGCCAAACGTATGTATATGTATAACTAGAATATAACATACTAAAATACATTGATATTTTTAAACTAAGTAATATTTTTNATTCATGGTAATCTGCCGAAGGGTTAATCAACAAAAGGAACTACACTAGTGAAAAGCTCTCTTTAAATGTGCTATGTAATATATTTAAAATGACATTTATAAATTATAATTAATTAAAACTGATCCCTGAAGTTGTAGAAACTTGCATAATAAAATTGGCTATAAATTTATTTTATTCTGTTTAATAGGAAAAAAAAATATGGTAAATATCTATGATTTATTTTGAAAAATTATGTTTTAAATATACATTTTAATAATTTTGTAGGAAGGGACACGTCCTATCCTACCATCCTCCCGACTCCGAAACTCGATAAATACATAATTTAATTGTGTAAATTGTGTAGTGTTTTATATAGTGCAGGTGCGGCCACCCTAGAAAAACACCACCTAAATCGTTTTTTACGAAGTTATAAAAAATATATATCTAAATTATTTTATGATAAACCTTTCAGTTAATTTAAAAATAATATCATTTTATATACAAAAAAAGACCCGAAATACCTCGTGCATAACGTATATAACAAATATATTAATATGATAAAATACCCGCGATCAGTTTTCAGTAGATAAAACCATTGAAAATTGGTCGTAGGTTCGTATCTAACCTGTATGCTGGCTAGTTTTTCGGGTCTTTACGTGTTTAACACCTAAATAAGAGTCAGTTTTCTATTCAAAATCTTCCTAAGATTTTGGCTCTTTTGACAAATCTCTTAAGTGTTACGTTGCCTTATACATAAATCAATATTACTAATTTTATCCCATAAATAAATAAATGTGATTTTTAATTTTAAAAAATATTCGCTTCATTTATTGTAATTTTAAGTGTAAATAATATTAATATTATATTAAATATAAATATTTAAACCAGAATTCCATCAATTCAACTGTAATCCAGTTTAATTACTGTTCTTATTGTGTAAGTTTAGCACTAATATAAACAGTCAATTTACCTAAAAAAATTGGTTTAAAAGCACTTTATTTTAAAACTAATACGTGTCAAAAATACTTGAAAAATTGTTGGTAATAAATAACGTAAAATAATATCAAAATTTTATTATTTAAACAGTTTTTTACATAACACATTCAATTGATGTTTCTCTAAAGCAAGCAACTACCTGAAAATAAATATAATCATTTATTAAATATTTGCTTGTTAAAGTTAATATATCGAGAACAAATTAAATTACTTACTGTCGCCACAAACGTTGCAGCATTCAATCTTAGTAAGAAAATTGTTGGTGTTACCTCCGCATCCTCCGTAGATAAAGTCTTCGCATTTACCACTTTCTGAGTCGTAATAATAACGCTGTATATGTGCGTAACAAAGTCCAGAGTCAGGGGAAAGGTTACATTGCTCACCTGTAATCAATAATTAATGATTAAGAATGTTAAATTTCACAATTAAAAGTATAAAAGAGTACCTTGAGAACTGGAAAATAACTGGAGAAGAAGAAGTACAGCAAAACTCAATAAGAGAAACTTCATCGTGCAATTACGTCAGTTACTTTTTATATAAGTGCAATTAATACACAAAAGGCGACAACGGAAAAGGAATTTACTTTCACGATAACGACAATTCCAAGAAAATTATTATCACTTTTATATTTTGTAATCTTAGCGGATATTGTTTCGAGAGAGGAAAATTTATTATTACATAAATTAAATATGATATTTTTCACCTTGACAGGTTAATGTTTACTTTCTCGTTTTATATATAACAGAGGAAAAGTATGGCTAATAGGTCAAAAATGCCCCCCTAAAATTTCTACGTTTTTGAATTTAGAGTACCGTGAAGCGTATAGAAATGAAATAAAGTTTGAGGGATTTCTATATCTATGAATGTTAGTGTATGTGTACGTGTATGGCACGATTTTGTTTACTCAATTTGAAGCTTAATAACTCCTGTACCTTTTATCGTAAATATCTGAAATTTTGTTGGAAGGTTTGAGTATTAAGGGGATTGAGGCTGTTAAATTTTGGCTATTAAAGGTCAAGGGAGTGGAGAGATATACGGGGTTATGTGTCCAATCTCGATAGGATGGAACTTAATGAAGATTTTATTGATTATTGGTATTTACAATTTTTTTTCTTATAAAACTCATCTGTACCCTCAAAGTTCGCTATTTGCCAAGTGAATAAAACTTTATTGGTAGTCGGTTTGCTCCGCCAAAGGGCTGAATAGTACCTAGAGACCAGTATCCTATAGAAAATCTTATTGACGGGGATGCCTCAATAGTCTGTAGGAGTTACTTTAAGAGGCACCACCTTAAGAAGTCGCCCAAGTTTTATGTTGTAACATCCCATAAACCCAATCCAATTGAAATTAAACATCTAAAAGAATCAGATAGTCACTCAGTTATTTAAAAAGTTAAACTATTTATGCTTATAAAATGACACTTAACATTTTATTTATGTATCATTTTAATGTATAGTTTCACATATTGCTAAAATTGAAAATTTGTTAAAGTCATAGTTTAATTATTTTAACGCGAAAATAATTATATATATATATATTAAAGTTTCGTTAAAATACAGTTTGAAACACTTCCTAGAACAGAGGGAATTTACATAAATAAATTAACTTTCCTTGAAGTAGTAACAAGCAAATTTCTGAGAATATTTAAACGTGTTTATAAACAAACATTTACATTTGTTTTTATTTTTTTTAAATTAAATTTCCCTGTAAATATCATATTATTACATTCATTTTACCCTGAAAATAATGAAAAAATAATAATTTTTATCATTTCTATTCTTAGTTTATATATTAATAAATTATATTTATTAAAAGTGTACGTATGGACGTCGAGAGCTTGTATAGGGCCCATTTTGTCATTTATCTTGTCATTAATTTTACAGGGGTAGGAACCACTAAAGGCCCCTAAGTTTCTCAGGTGCCGAAGAAAAATCGGTCAAAAAATGCAAAAAATTTCGGGTTTTTTTCTGTATGTATGGATGTTAGTGTTTGTGAAGGGAGCTCAATTTTCTTCACCCTCTTTAAAGCTTAATTAATAACTCCTGTGCTTTTTGTTGAAAATTTCTGTAATTTTACAGGTGGGTTTACTTATTACGGGGATCGATTCTATTAAATTTTGGTGATTAAAGGTCTAGGGGGTGGTGAGATAAGGGGGGTCGTGTGTATCTTCAATAGGGTCGGACTTAATGACGATTTTACTCGTTATTAGCATTTATAATCATAACAGACAAGGACGGATAGACATAGGGCCCAATTTAAGTGTTAAATTAGATATTTAGAATGAAATCAAGCATTTTATAAAATAAAATATCATATGATATTTTAAAAACGGATGTGTAATTCCTTTAAAATTTTAGACATAACATATTTAATTCATTCGAAAACATTGACATCCGGAATCAAATTTTGTGGGACATATTTTCGATTTCACTAAAGAAAAATAAAAGAATTTATCACTGAATTATTAATTTACAAATATAAAATATTTAAAAATAAAAAGTTCATTAGAACCTGTTAAAAAATTCGACTTAGAAAACATGTTTACTCATTTCAGATATAAATATTTGTAAATATTTTGTAGATGTTCACTGCATCGTAGGTGGGTTAAGAATATAAAATTGAGGTAGATCTTTAAATTTTTCAGATCGATCAAAGATGAAAACCTTCCTAGCTATCTGCGTTAGTCTCTTCTTCTGCATTAATGTCGTGCTAGAAGCCAAACGTATGTATATGTATAACTAGAATATAACATACTAAAATACATTGATATTTTTAAACTAAGTAATATTTTTATAGAGGAGAAGAAAGCTCTACAACCAGGAAAGGAATATCATCAATTTTTCTTTCATAACTATGAGAAGAATAAATGCGAAGCTTTCATCTACGATCCATGTTATGGAATGTATAATCCTGATAATAGATTTGAAACTCAGCAACAATGTTGTGAGAAATGTGGAGGAAGTGCGTATAATTTTATTTTCTTATATTAAAAGATGATTTTTCTTACTCTTTTCCATCTATTTTTTGCTTTTGTTCCATCTAACCCTCTTAGTCCCTGTGGAGACTAAAGTATAGAAGAAACAATGCATTGCAATGCATGGACGCTCTGCCAAGGGAAGAGTGCAATGCATTGTTTTATATATTTAATTTAATTTAAAGACGCTCTCTCCTCTCCCAAGGAAAGAGTGTCTTTCTATGGGAAACTGCTCCTAATTGTGTGTTAGACACGTGAAGAAATCCCGGGAAACTCCATCATTGATTACGCGCGAGCCCATTATCAATGTTCAGGGTTTTATCCACTGGGCACTTAGGAAGGTCTTTCTTTTCCATAGTTAGTGTGGGTTTGGCCAGACCCACAATAGGACCGGCCTGTAGTGAAGTATAGAACCTAAAATATACAAGAGTCATCCCATAAAAAATTTCTGTGGAGGTTGCTCTACAGATTCGATTCTGGATCCTCCTGACTTCAGGCTGAAGCTCTAAGATATTATGAATAAGAATTTATTATTTTGAATAATTTTTAATATTTAAATTTTTTTGAATTTTTTACCTGATTATTAACTTAAATTTATTTTTATAAATTTTATAGATAACTGCTAATAAAAGTATAGGAATATTAACACGAACGTCATAAACGAAAGAAAAGAATTAAAGACGTGGGTTTGTAAAAAATAATTAAAGATTAATATTAAATATGAAATCTTCAGATAATTAATAAAAGTAATTAAATTTTACAGATCAAATACAATGTTATCGAAGAAATGAAATAATAATAATAATTAACGGAAAAAATTTATAAATTCGCCAAAGATTTTGGAAAAATTTAATGAGTTTTATCAACATTTCTCATTAAATTATACCGAAATTAATTAATTTATTACATTTTATTTGTGTAAAATGATTTTTTAAGAATAATAAATATTTAAAAATCTTCTATTGAACCTTTGATATTTATTTTATTTGACAATATCGACTGAAATTTTTATTGTACTTATTATTCCTGATACATTTATGATTATATTAATTAAAAGCAGAATGTAAAACCGGAGAAAGAAGTGTATATGTTTTTAAATCTTTGATTTTTTCTTCCTTGTGGGCACTAAGAGGGCCTTTTTGGGTTAATGAAATGTAGCAACGCAACGTACGGGCGATGTTCCAAGGTGGAGGCCTTCTAGAAGGACTTTCATAAAAAAAACCGGGCTTCTGTTTAGGTGTTACACGAAGAAAATTCGGAAAACTCGTGGGTTAGGCGCAAACTACGACTAGTATTTAAAGGTTTTTTTTTTTTTTTTCTATTCGGTCACTGCGAGCCATTTTTAAATCATGCCCACCACATGCTTTACCTCCTTATAAAGACACGTGAAAAACCATAATAACTTATAATTCTCATATATTTAGGAAATTAGCTAAAATATTATTATATTTCTAAATTTCTAAAGTATTTTTTTAGCTACTGCGAAAACTCCAAGAGATGGCAACATAGAACAATGTAGAACAATATGAAATAAAAAGCTATCAAGGACCTTTCACGTGTTACCAATACTAGAACAGGAAGTTAAGTGGCGTCATCTATTATTATATTTTATTAAGATGTGATTTATTTTATAATATTAATTATTATAAAAAGCAAAAATCTTTATTTTTGGGTAGGATGAGTTTTCGAAAAATTGTAAAAGCTAATAAAAGCTAATAACCTGTAAAAGTTTTATTAAATATGATTCTACTCGATATATGACCCCCCTAACCCCGTATNGCCTTCTGTTTCACGGCTCAGCGGTTTGCTCAGGGCAAACCGCTGAGCCTAAATGATGAATCAGTGAGTCAGTCAGGACAAGCGATTTTATATATATAGATAATTTGATTACTGAACACAATTATAAAAGAGTTAATTTATCAATCCTGGATTGGATTGATAAATTAACTCTTTTATAATTGTGATTTAACAAGTACAACTCACCAGAGTTGCCCTTGTTCAATCATTAGCTAATATTTGTCAAGGCGACGAGAAGTGGCATGTAATTTCTTAATATGTTTTTGCAAACAATTCAGAATATAATGGTACGTACGAACAATATTAAGACAGGATCCCGCAGAATATGTTTGGTTTTTGTCTTAATAATACAGCATTTAAAAGCACCCAAACTATCACCCAAAACGGGGAAAAAGCATCCAAACGAGCACCCAATCCATTCTAAAAATGCACCCAGAAATCCGGATCTTAGTTATAAATTTGCCCGCATTCTGAGTTACCGTGATTCTTAAAAGCTAGATTGTTAAATTCGGGTACGCGTTATACGGAGATTTTAAGATGTAATTCGGTTTAATAACATTTTAGTTATTGATCTCTACACAATAATATTTTCACTCCTGACATTTAGACAATTGGACAAGTTTAAAGGATGTAGCTCTGTTGGTTTTCGAAAATATATACAGGGTGCTTCAAAAAAATGTATACACTTAAATTTATTATTTAAGATATTAAAATACAGTTTATATTTGTAGTAAAATTACACATCAGAAAATGAATAATTTATCAATTAAAATGAGCAAATCATACCGATGTTAACGAGAAAATACTTTACTAACTGGGAATGGCGATTTGATTAACCAGTTTGGCATTGACCTGCAAGTAAATATTTATATATTTATTTTTATTCTATTTATAAAATGAATAAGTTTATCCTTTATTACATTCCTTACCTTTTCCACACGCTTTACAACATTCTTCCATACTTCCGAAATTGTTACTATTACCATTACAACCCCCGAAAATAAAGACTTTGCATTTATCAAACTTCGGATCGTAATAATACCTTCGGAAATATGCTAAACATATTCCAGCTCTAGGAGGAAGGGAACAATCCACATCTGAAAGAACAAAAATTTCTTATAATAATTGAACTGATAGAATTATATAAGATAAAGAACAACCTTCGCTTTTGACAAATGATTGTATCAACAGTAGAGCAAGACTGACTAGCATCAACTTCATGTTGAAATGAAATGTCTGATAATAAATTACTTATGTGTGTAGGTCTATATAATAAACGAGAAAAAAAAAAGGAAAATAAATTTCCTAATGTCAACGGTGATCTAATTTTAATTGCGGAACGATTGCGAATGTACTGTTTTGCAATAAAACAAATGATACAATATCCATATAAAAGTTTTAATCGGTATAAATTAAAATAAGCTAAAATTTATTACAGATTTCATCGCTAGAAACTGAAACAATATTTAAATAATAGAATATTTTTTCATATATTTATCGATTTTTTTTTACTCTTCCTCCCTGTGGATGGTAAAAGAGTCTTTTTTAAAGGCCCATAATGAAACCGCGTGATGAGGGACCATGATGACTTTCGACTTTCAGATTCGAACCCAATGTAAATTGACCATTCAACCTGGTTTTACGGGTTTGAAAGTTTAAATTATGAAGAATAACAAGAATACACAAGTTTTCATTAACACAAGAAAACAAGTTGTATTGATTAAAAGTTAGTAAGTAGGTCGGATTTTTTTATTAATGTATTAATAATGGATGTGATGTGTTAACGTGATAGAAAAAGTTTAGTATTATGAAATTAAATTACGCTTAAATTTTGATAAAAGAAATATATAGGCCCTATATATAAAGTTTTATATGGTTTTATTCGTATACATATGGATGATCTACCTCCTGGAAGAACATTTTATAGGAAACTGGGTCGTATTTAGGTGTTTCTAACGTAAAGAAAAAGCGAAAAACTCCATGTTATTATCTCATTGGCGAGGCGTGGGTTAATGAAATAGATAATGAATATAAATAACGCGATGTATAGCGTGTTAGAAAATATTGCCTAATATAGCAATAATTTATATATTAGCTTATAGATTATATAATATCCACGAATACATTTTGTTTCAGGTTAATGAATAATATATTAAACTAATGCAATAAAATGTTAATAAGAAAAATATGAGGAATGAGTATTGAAGATTATATTTCTGCTCTTCGAATTTAAGTAATTTGATTAAAAATAATTAATTATTACAACAAAGTGTAANCTTCATTTACATTTTCAAACTTCCAGTACCACTTAATAACCTGCTTACGTTCTTCAAAACTCAAACGTACGTCCCCCATGTTGATATTACAAATTCCAACTGATAATATAACATAGAGGGACGATTATGCTGCCACCTGGCGAAGAAATATAACATTAGCCTTGTAGAGCGGGAAAACTACAATAGTTCAAAGTGTGTATACATTTTTTTGAAGCACCCTGTATTTGTGTGTTTCTCAATGTCCTGATTATTTTTCGAATATAGCTTTCATTTTTCGAATTTTGTCCCAGTTTTGCTACATTTTACTTTACTGCACTCCATGTGAAAAGTCACATTAAATTCCAAAAGTTGAGTCTACTTGTATTTTTAAATATTTTCTCTTTGTGAACAATGATTGGATATTTTTTTTTTCTGTATTCATCGTGAGTTTGTTAACTAACAATGGGGGCTGCCGAGTGATAAGAGGCAGGAACACGAGTGTCTATGGAAAATTCCTGGTATTTCTTACGCGATTTCGATCTCTGTTTCTTTAAAGTGGTATGCTGGAGCCTTCCACTTTAGGCAAGGCCGTCCATACCACTAAATACTTTAAATTCTTTTAAAATTTATGAGAAGCTAATTATATTAATTCGGAATCTTTATAATCCTTTAAAGTATTTTAAGTAAAGCGGACACGAAACATTTCTTAAATAATTCCTTTAATTCATTTAACATTCTTTTCTAATTAATATAAAAACATTAAAAATTTTGCATTAGTAATATTCATAAAATATTATATGTAAAATGTTTTAAGAATCATTAATACTATTCACTAATGGAAATCTTTTGTTTGCCATGCGATATGCAAACATCTCTTCCATTAGCAATAATAGTTCCATCAAGTTAAATACATTCTTGGTTATTAATAGACCTTTATATAAGGAAAATCTATAAAGACATACAGTAGAATCATTACATGAAATATACAATCTAACTTGATGTGGCTAAATCATTTCTTCTTCATTTATAAACTAATTTTCGTAATAGTTTTCATACAAAATGAGTGAATTAAATGAAGAGTTAGCTGCAGGTATACTTCTTTACCCAATAAACTCTGCAACAAAAGTTTTCGGAATTGACATTCTTCAAATTAAAAGCCACAAAAAGAAGACTTATAGAGATAAACTGTACAATTTGTATCTCACAATATTAGAAGTATTTTTGATTTCTGTCATTTTAAACCTTTTGTTTATGCTATATTCTAAAAATGCTTTGTGCACAAGTTGGATTCTGATTTTTCCAGAGAAAAGGAAAATGTTTATAAGCGGTCTCCTAATGATTTGTATCTACTTTACTTTCCTTTTCGGAGTTTTAAAACGTAGAAAGTTGGAAATTCCAAGCGATGACAGTTCTTACCACAATGAAAAAAGTTTAATGAATGAGATAGAATCGTATTGTCTTTCTCAACTCGTTTCTTCTTTTATGATGATGATCGTTCTTGTAATAATTCTTGATATTTTTCTATATCCTACATTCGGTGATGTAACTTACACCGAATGTATTCTATGCTATTTCTTTTCGACTTTTCTTCTTGTATTTTTAAATAGCTGCATGGATTGTTGTGGATTTATGGT